CACACCCCCAATCACACCCACACCCCCATCACACCCACACCCCCAATCACACCCACACACCCAATCACACCCACACACCCAATCACACCCACACCCACACCCACCCCCCAATCACACCCCTACCCCTACAACCAACCCCTTTATCTTCATATCTGCAATAGCCAACCAAAGACTAATGTTAATATATATCCTTCTTTTTAACCAAACACCATGATCTGACTGACTAGGTCTGATATACATAATGGTCATATGTACTTATGTGTTCAGCATGGCTACCACCTTATTTATAATTACATTAAACATATATATCTTCGACATCAGTATACTCTCAGTCTGAATTGGTTTTTGATTTTCCCAAAAAAAAGAAATACCTTCAACTTGGATGCTTTGTAAGTTCGGTACAAAACATAGGGTAATAAATTGGTAGATATTAATTGATTTATCAGGGTAACAGATCTGGCTGGTAATCATTAGTGATTGGCCAGATCTAGAATTTGGCCAATAAGGGAAGGGTAGAGAAAATAGCCCACACAGTAACTCACAACTCCCTCAGTATCAACTAGGCCGCATACTGGTACTTGCCAAACTTTATGAAATTTCCATTTAGGAGATTACACATGCTCAGAATTAAAAGCAGATATAAAATGTGTGTATGTATATCCTTAGGGGGAAAGTAATACTTTTAAACAGTATCTTTTAAGCTGTTCTTTCAGATGAAATCATCATATCTTAAAATAAAAACAATGGTTTAGCATGTTCACTGGTTGAAAATGCACAATTTTAGGGTCCAAAATTGGGAGTTTCTCGACAAAATAGGGAGAGTTGGCAAGTTTGCCAGAGTTGGCTTCTGTATTTGTTGGTACATGTATAACAGAATTTGAAGATGAATTTATAAAAACATTTTCATAATATTGATATGTACCATAGTGAAATATTACACTTCATACATAAAAAATTGACAAAGATCTGTAACCTTTCATAGGTTTTACGGGACCGTGAATCGGGTATACTGACTGGATCTGACCGGAACGGTATCTTTATTCCATTATTATTAATAACCAGACTAGAATACCTATCTATATACAATGTATGGTTATGGGTTTTATGTAAACAGATAAAACCAGTGATTGTTATTAAAATTAAACTGTACATATTAACATAAATTATTAAACGATCAAACCATGTCAATAGTACGTATTACACAGCAATACTGTTTTAACCCTTTCACCACAGTAGACCATAATGGACTCATCCAGATCAATGCATAGTAGAGTCTACTAAGTTACGTAGGGGTGAAAGGGTTAATGAAAATATTAAGAACCATGTATACAGATACCATTTAAAGACAAATTTAAGTGTTTTGTCACAAGTGTGTTGGTAAAATTATAT